CAGGCAAGAACTGCCTTCTCTGATGTTGGTTCCCAACAACTAGTATTCAGAAGCATGCTTCCTCTATCTTACAGGTAGCAGGCAACCATCGTGATAAATGGCTACCAATAACCTTAACATGGATGTTTAACATGGATCACATCCTGCTAAACCATAAAACAGTTTGCCTGTCAGAGCTGAGGATAGTCTGCGAAGCCAGCCAAGGGAGTTAATACAATAAACAGTGGTTCAACCTGATACTAGTTGATATAATATTTCTTTTTGCCAGCCCTGAACTCCTGCTCCCCATTGCAGCTTTCATCACCACTGGATACCTTTGCCCTTCAGGTAAAGTACATGGTAAAAGCAGATTGTGACATTCACTGAATTGAAAAGAACACACAGGACAGGAGGTGGGGTTTTTTTTGCCAGTTTTATTGAACCAGTAAAATTCCTGCTGATAACAGTGAAAGAGATTTCAGCAAGTATAAATGCTATACAGTTTAAACAAACCCCACTGTTCCGTACCTATAAATAGATTTTTTTTTGAAAACCTCATAAAAAGTGCAGATTTTATGAATTGCTGTTAACAGGTTAATATGCACACACATATTACTTTATTGAAAAATACGTTTCGTTTCAGCTCACTAAATGTTGTTTTCTGGATCTGCTCAAATACAAGTCAAGATGAGTAACTAAAAGCTTAAACCAAGAAAGACAGGAAAAAAAAGTGAGTCACACAGATAGATCCAGTAGGATTGGCTTGTCCAATATCCATCTTGGTTAGAAAACTTAGGCTAAAGTCTTGGTTAGGTCTTAAATCTGCACATTTTCAAAAAGAATGGGTGTGTGTTGCTATTTTTATTTTGCTGGTGTTGTTAAGGGTAATCTGAAGCCCACAAATGCTTAAGTTATTCCTGTGATAAACTATTTATATTTTGGAGTGTAGGAAAGGGACACCCCAGTCAACTTTTTGTTGCTCTGGAATAACTTCAAACATGTCCTGAGGTAACAGAATAAAAGTTATCCAAGACTATATGAACACAATAAAAATCCAATCCTCCCATTCTCACCCTTTTTACTGGAATTAAACTATGTGGTGGAAAAGCCTGTTGGTCAGTTACAAGCAACTGGTGGGCCAAATATGGCCCACTTAGATGATCCACTATTGGAGCATATGTTTATATTCTTGTAGCCAAAGACGTATTTTGATTTTTGCCTACTTCCTTACTGCTGGCTCCAGGGAAAACTAAAAATACATAGTGGTCCTGCTCTTCCCACAACTGTCTGACAAATCTTCTTCTTTCCAGGGGTAAATTTTGGGCAGTAGATGAAAAGGGAAATGGACTGAACACTTCCCTATGGTGCTCACCCTCGGACATTTTCTGCCCTGTATTGTGATTTCTCTTAAATGCTAGCAGAAACTGAGATATCAATTCACATCGACCTGCGTTTTCCCTACACATTTTTGAGCAAGGATGAAGAGGCATTCTTACGTAAATTCTCTAACTGGATTCTTATGTTGCTAACCAACCATTCCCACAGGTTTAGAGTGGTACAAATAAATCTGTCTCTCCCATATACATAAGTTCACACTACCCATACTAAAGACATGATCTCAAATTAACAGGAAAGGACAGTTTTAAATGGTTATGGGTCATTAAGTCACTTATAAAAAAACCAGAAACACCTGACCCTAAAAAGCTTAAACCCACAGACACATCTTCATTCTCTCCCCACAGACCAAAACACACAAACACAACCCACATACACACACATAATACAGCTGTGGAAATTCTAAGTAACATAAGCTTAATCTACGTACAGCCATAACACAGTACACAACTGAAGGTGGACATAACCCCACTTCACTTCTGGCTGCAGCTCTATATTTCACAAATTGTGAAGAAAAAAAAAGTTACAGTAACAAAGTCAAGGACCATGAAGGCCTATCACAGCTTCTAGAAATACACTACATTTAATGGGAGGAGAAGAAATGTTCCCGAAAAGAGCCCATAGGAAAAAAGTGATGTCAATTTTTTTTTGAGTAATCACTAAGTGCAACTAGATGTTTACACACGCTACATACAGGACTTCAATCTCAGAACCAGCTCATTGGGCCACTCTGCATATATTCAGGCACCATTTTGTTTTTGTTCCAGATAACATCAAGAAGGACTACATCAGCCTTCCACTCTCCAGATATGCTGAGATGCCATTCTCTAGACATGCTGGGAGTTGTGGTCTCAAGTCTGGGAAAATCCAGATTAAACAAGATTGTGATGGCCTGTTTATTTTGAGAAATTTTTAGTGCGTATTTTAATTGGGTCCAATCCACTGGGATTGTAACAAGGCCATTGGGGGATGTGGTGTGGAGGAGCGTAGGGACTTTCTGAAGGATCCATCTTGATCATTCCTATCATTTTGTGAATGAGGAGTTCATCAGAATTTATATACATAGCTGAGTGCTCAATTGTTTCTTTGCCTTTTAAGTTAAATTGGAACGAAAAACCCACCTTCATCTTGAGGTGAAAGAATTTGGCAGGGCTACTGGGAGAGAAGTTGGGATGAGAGAAGTAAAGTGTGCTTTGGTGGCCCTCCCTCCCTTTGTATGGCTGACCAGTTGTCCCAAGTCTTCATCCAACTTCAACCTGATACAAGTCAGGTCTAGAAGACAGTGCCATTCCAAATGCTATATTCAGGCTGCTTGTTTAGGAATCATACAAGGTGAACGTGAAAGAAGGGGGAGAAATTGCTAGGAAAGATCTTAGGGCATCCTAACTGATTGATTCAGGAGGTCAACCAGTGTACATCTGTTATACATGGAATCATATGTTGCTCTCCATGGTTCCAATCATTCCACAAACAAATAAAAGAAAACACTATTTTTGAAGTTCTGCTTCATAGGAATCTAAGCTTTGAGTGTTCCTTGGTTAAGATCTCATGTTAGCAGGAGATTTTTTGAGCAACCCTTTGCCTCAAATCTTGACCCTTTGCTTTCTAACCCTGGGGGAAAAGTCAGCTTCATTTGGAGGCTGCTAAACTGAACAGGGAGGTGCACAAGTTGCAAAGGCAATCCGCCCTGGTGCACCATGAGACAGTGCATGTTGCCAGAGGCTGAGTCAACCTTTCTTTACCTGGCACCCTTCTGGACATGTTAGATTTCAACCACCATCACCCCCACCCAGCATTTCCCCAAAGAGCTGATCACTGTAATTTCAAAGCACCCTAGAGCATGCATATACGGAAGGTGGGTTGAAAAAAAACAACAACTCAGAGAGAATAGATTTTTACGCAGACTAAGAATTATACAGCTTCTGCCCAAAGAGGAAATTCTTCCACATACGGATTTCTCTGTCTGGTCAGAAAAACCTCTGGCAGTTGCAATGTCTTCTCTTCAAGAGGGAAACATACGCACCACTGATCTGGCACAGTGGAAGATCTGTTGTGTGGTTCTGTGCAAAATCCTTGCAGGACAAACCTGATAATATAGTAATTCCTTGCCATAATGCATGCACTTTTAAAGCGAGCGGCACCTTTTATGATCAAACACACCTGAACAACAGCACTTGAGAAAACCTCATGTGCAACTTGGCTTTGAATCTGTTTGGTGTTCACAGACAGCAGAGCAAAGAATTCCTGGGATTCCCCTTTTTGGCTCAAAGGATAGATGTAAAAATGTCCCTGTCCTTGAAAAAAAGATCTTGAAACAAAAGTCATATATCCATCTAAATCTCTCCTGGACTTACACTTTTTAAAAGCAGTCCTACTGGCCTTTTTATATATGTAGGGGAAAAAAAGCCTATAGATGACACAACATTAAAATGACCCCCCTCCATTTTACAACAAAAGTTGAAAAACCAAATGGAACTGCAAAGCAAATTTGTTCATTCTTGCGAATTAAAGTGTTCCAGCTGTGGTTGGCTGGTTTAAAGAAATATTTATTATTTGATCTTATTTGATTATAAATGGCCTCACTCCAGAGGCTCTTAGACCAGTGTTTTTCAACCTTGGCAACTTTAAGATGTGTGGACATCAACTCCCAGAATTCCCCAGCCAGTAGGAGAAATGGGTGGGTCTGATGCTCAGTAACAACCAGGATTGCCCTCCAATCCTTCAAAGTGGAAGCTGAATCTAGTTGTGGAATAGAAGTACGCAAGAGGTCTGGAAATCTACATGGCTACATTCAGGCTACTGAATCATTCAGTTTGGAACTTGGCATCTCCTATGATGTACCAGCTATCCCAAGACCAGAGCAGTCCAACGAAGCCCATTATTTAATGTAGGTCTGGAATTAGAACATCTTATTCCAGTTGCTCAACCCTGATTGCTCATTGGAAGGATCGATAATGAAGCTCAAGCTCAGATATTTTGGCC